ATTCAGGCACATCTCAGCCGCCTCGAATGCGAAGATTGGATCATTTTACTGACTTGATGCAGGTGGTTCGGCCAAGGCTGCGGCTGACCTTGTCAAGAAGCTTGGAGGTGAAATCATGGGTTTCCTCTTCATCCTCGAGATTCCTGGCCTCAACGGCCGCGAGAAGCTCGACGGTATCAACACTACCATTCTTATTGAGGACGCTTAGACGCGTTCACGGCTACAATAGCAGCGAGGGGGGATGCGCAAAGCTTTCCCGTTGTTCAATCACGCCACTGAAGCATGAGTACATATACATACTACGTTCCGGGGGGCGGCACAGGGCTGCTCCTGTGCCGTTCTGACACCTTCCCACCGAAAGCTACACGGTACACCAACGCACGCCGCGGGGCCTGCGTCGGCGTTTCAGGGATTTGCAAAAGGGCATCATTCAAACTTGGCTTGGGAGGGGCGGCTGCATGATTGCATTATCTTAGACTAGCTTTGGCATCTGTGCTCGAGCAGACGGCCCGTTGACGGGTTTCCCGCTGCGGGGTTTTGATGCGACAGCTTATACTCAACAGTATTTGACGCATGATGATTTGGTCTCTAACAGTGACTGTTGGGGTGGTGGAGCGGTATTTATGCGGCGGCTCTCGGTGCAGCAGCTGGCATGCATGGGTTGAAGTACCCTGGAGGCTATTAAGTACGACGTGGCCGTCACATCATTCCGCACCATTTCTCGCAGGGCCGTGCGATCGTTCAGGTCAAATAAAACGCAAGTGGTATTCTAAAGACGAACTAGTTCATGTCCTCTCATGTCTATGTCATGCCGTCATCCTACGCAAAGAGACACCCAACGTAATGTGGTGGGGGAAGGGATTCCTCTCATCATATATACATGCCTCACATCCATCCGTGCACCGCCTTGTGCGCCAGTACTTCAGAGCACAATAATATTGTCCACCGCCGACCCTGGGTCTCAATGACATACTTTCTCCGGATGCGACGCCCCTCGCGCGCCCAAGCTGCTCCCACGCGCTGGCGCGCGGATCATGACCAGGCTGAGCGGGCGGTGGCGCGCATGCGCCGGGGGTGGCTGCTCGTCCTCGAGGTGCGGCTTGACAATGTCGTGGGCGGCGTCCCAGGGCGGGCGGTCGACGTGACCGCCGTAGACGGCGTCGTCGTCGTCGTCGTCGTCGTCGCCGAGGCCCGTCCTCGTGCGGGTCGCTGACGACGACGACGAGGCGGAGCGAGTGCGCCGTGGGCGTGACGGCGGGAATGTTGGCGAGCTTGGCGCTGAAGGAGCAGCCGCCGCGGCCGCAGGGCGATGACGTGGTGGTTGCGCGGGATGGCGTCCGGGAGGCGGCGGTGCAGCCCTGGCCGGCGAGGTAGACGGTGTGCCATGGGAGTGGAGCTGAGTGGCGGACGTATTCTCGTCGGGGGCCGTGGCCGGGGCCAGGGGCGCGTCGCGGACGTCGGGGAGGGGGACGGCGCCGATGCCGACGGGCAGGGCGGCTTTTGTAGGTTTTCTATGTGCAGTGTGCGCCGGCTGGCGCCCGAGGGGCCGTCGTCGGGCGAGGGGGTGTTGGCCGGGTCGAAGACGGAGGTGACTGCGCGGACAAGGCTCTTGAGCATGGAGCCGTAGGAGGGGTCGAGTGAGCCCGATGCCTCGTCGTCGTGTTCCAGCCACGAGGACTGCTCCTCGCTCAGGTGTATCTCGTTGCCGGTGCTCGTCGAGCGCTACTTCTACGGTTTCGAGTGGGGTCTCTGCTGTGTGTTCTCCGAGGGAGGTTCTCCATAGACAATCATGAGGTCGACGGTACGGCGCGTAACGGACACGATTTGAAGAGGGGGTCTTTGATATCGGGAGAGCATGTCGCCATCGATGTGTACGATCTCGTCTGCGAGAGCCATGTGATGACGTGCGTGACGCGCAGTGTGTCGTAGTCGGCGCAAAGGACTCTCTGATAAACGTAATCTCAAGCCGTTCAGCGAGGTGATCTGGCGCATAAGGGTCTTGAATGCTGCCGTATTGGCAAACAGCTGGTTTCAGCGCACTGCCCTGTTGGTTTGTCGAGGGGAACTCAATGACAAGGGTTGGCTTGAACGTGAGGGCCGCGCAGGTGCCGTTGTCCGGGACCATCGAAGTAGGCAGAGTCCAGGGGAAGAAGGTGTGATTCTCCTTGTATTGGAGAACAGTCTCATTGGACCCCTTGAAGGTCGGGACCAGCTTCATGCCACTGTGAGGGTTGGCGACCGTGTGCAGGTTGACGAAGCTGGCGGCTTGGAACACGTCAGCGCGTGCGGCCATGGCCGAGCCCGTCAGTGGAGGCCTTGAGGCAACCGGGCAAGTGTTGGTGTAATTCTCGTCGTGGTACGCCTTGACGCCCTTCACGAGACGGTTCACCTGCGGTTTTTTCTTCTTTCTCGGTTTCTGACCGCGCCTCGAATTTCGCTGCCCTGGAATGATGAGCGGATGGGCTTCGGTGCTGAAGACGAAAGCGGCATCGAGTTTGTTGAGCGGGTGTTCGGGGTCGAAAAGCACAAAAAGATACTTCGTGGTTTCACCCAAGAAGAAGCTCTGCATCCGATCTGCTTTTTCGCCCGTGTCGACATTTTGTAGCCCCGACCAGCCGCACTTGGTCCGGCAGAGACGATTAATATCCGCAAGGACCATTTCGCCAACGTGCAAGTACCACGGATCGCCGGTGGCACGATACAGGTAGTATGTCGACTCGATGAACTCGGGTCGCCCAGGCCACCAGCCGATTCCAGAGTCGACCTGCCTCTCTCGAACCGACCATCTCTCTGGCAGGGCACCATAGCGAGTCCAGAGTGCAGTATACAGAAGGTTCGCCTCCTCGCCCTCCGCAACCTCGCCAGCCATGGCCAGCAGGCCGGGATAGAAGGCCGCCAGACTGTCGATCCAGGCCGTGAAAGGGTAGCCCCTGGTCCTGTGACCTGTCATGTAGTACGGGTGGTGAGCGTCGTTGTACAAGTGGCGTTTGATAGCCGCATGCGCCTGATGCCAGGCCTCGAGAAAGGCTCCAGCGGTGTGTTCCTCGGGCGTCAAAGGTTCGGTGTGCAACGTATTTGGGTCGAGCCACTGACGGTCTGACGTCGTTGGCGCGCGAGCGGTGACATTGGGGAGGTCGTGGCCGGACAGCAGAATGTGACTCTTCAAAGCATATTCAAAGAAGCTGTCGACGCCAGCGCCGATGCCCGTGTCAAAATTGACCCAGTCTCCCTTTCGGGGTCGATGGCGTTGCCGACCAGGCCGATTTCGCTTTTGCCCTTCCAGACAGCCCAGAAGGCGCGTTTGGCCAGATGCTCGAACCTCTGGTCGCCGGTGAGGCGGCTGAGGACGGTAAACTCGAGCACCAAGCTGCCGGCGCCGGCTGCACACGTGTCCGTCTTCTCAGGGTACTTCTGCGTCGAATCGGGGTCGTTGGGCGAAACCTTATGCAGGGGTGAGTTGATGTAAAAGGGAATGCCATGGCGCAGATTGACGCGCGGATACGGCAGACCAGTCGTCGTATAAAAGGCCGGCAGCAGCCGTTCTGCCATGTCGAGGGCCAGTCGCAGGAGCTGGCCGTCATAGTGGAAACCGCTCGGCCACGGAATGGGGGCCAGCTCCAGCGGATTCGAGTCGTCGTCGTCGTTCAGCCCTGCATGCTCTGGATCATAGCCAGGTATGGGAAGCTCCCCCACGGCGAAGAGGTGGGCGCTCAGAAGGCCGCCCACCCCTCGGATGACGGTCTCAAAGACCTGGACCTTGCTGTCGAGGTCGAACCCGCGCGCGCGTATGCCCTGGCCAGATGGGCCACGCCGTCCGTCCCCGTAGTAGTCCACAAACTTTTCTACCTCGCCCTGGAACTCTTTCAGAGCCCAGTCTGTCCGTGTTGTCGTCGGAGGGGCGTGCCGGCGAGGATGGCGAGGGTCGACAAAGCTGTCGAGGGAGGGTAAGGGAGTAGTTTGCCGAGAACGTCGTTCAGGTCATAGTTCCCTATATTTAACTGGATCGCAAGAAAGAGGTGTACATAAAACAGGCCGCAGCTGCGAGCAAGACTTTATCCCAGAACAAGCGAGGGGAAGATTAGAGATGGTTGGGCTCGAACCTCGTCCTCCGGGAAAAGCGTGCTGCATGTAGTTGTTGAAGCCATGCTGGAAGACCTCAACCATAGATTTCAGGAGCTCCACCAGGCGGGCCGCACCCATTGACTTGACTCTTGCTGGCCATGTCAGGGACAGCAAGAGACAGCTGAGGAAGGCCAATGTCGACGGCATGATTGCTTGCGCCGGTGCTCCGTCGAAGAAGGTGGGAGAACTATACACAGGTTCCCATGAATGCGCCCACACGCCACGCCGCCGGCAGGTTCCCGAACTCCAGGAATCGGCGGCAGCTTCAGCAGGGAATCCTCATGAGGGATTTGGCTGTTTCCGGAGCTAGGAAGAAGCAGCGTAGGGGGCGGCGAATGTCGAGATAGCGTCAGGACTGAAGGGCGCTGAATATGGCACTCTGAAGTGGGATGCTGTCATCTTGGCGAGCCACGCGACACTCGTTCGCGATGTGGCGCATCGAGTTTCTGTGGCTGGTGCTCATCAACTTTTCTCAGTTCGGCTTACCTCAGCAAAGAGACAAAGGAGCAGAAATGAGAGCCTTGATTCTGAGGCCCACCGATTCTCAGTCCTCGCCGGATGCTCTCACCGAAACACCGAAAGCCCCCTGGCTACGACACAACACACCCGGGGCGTGGCATTTTCCCCCGAAGGAGCCCTGTAGGTGGCCAGTGCCCTGCACTGAACCTGTCAAGGCTCACCGGCGATGGTCCGCGTTCCCCGGCCGATTGTCTTCTCGCAGGGGATCCCAGTTGAGGTGCTCGACCTGCCCCAAGGTGCCTCAGCATCTCCACTCGGACCTCTCGTGCCAATTTCCAATTCCGACTTCTCATCGTCACACTTTTTTTTGGCCTCTCCCCGCTCGCCTGTGATCGACCAAGGATGCCTTGACATAATCTCAAAAGGTTGTTCAGCCTTGATCCGGGGGAGAGGGCGTGCTTCTTTCTTGTCCCTGTCCATGGCCAGGAAGTACCGGTACATTCAAGGATTGCCGAGCTCGCGGCTAAATCCTAGCAAGACCCCCGTCCCCCCCCCCTGGTGGATTGGATCAAGCGCCATGGAAGCTTGCCCATGGTTCGGTGGTCGTGATGATATATCCGATCGCCAGCCGAAGCCAAGGAAACTTGCATGCCTCCTGTCTCTGATGCCATAGTTTTACCCTTTTCGCCCACTATCTCTATTTTCCACTCCGGCCCCCATGGCATACCGGGGCTGTTCCCCCGCCTTGCCAGGCCACGGATGGTGGAGGGTGGTATATGTATGCTTTAATCGTTACATCCAAATGGTCATGCGGGCGCTGGCCGAGCATGACGGTGCCATGATATTGCCATTGGGTAAAAGGCTGCCTGTTCACAGACGGGCTGCCTCAGCCGCTCTGTGCGTGCACGTGCAAGTCCGCGTACGAAATGGGGGGGTATCTGGGGGATTGGCCCTATTTTCGATGCGAGGCTTTGCTCATAGGTCGCAGAACAGGCCGGGCGCAGCAAAGACAGACACCCCGGCCCTGACTCTGGTCACGCTCACATTGCACTGTTCCCACCCCGTCATGACTCTTGCCAATGCTGGGCAGCAGTGTGCATTTCAGCCTTAAGATCGATCTTGGTGCGCGCGGGCACAACATGGGGGGGGGGGGGGCCTTCAGCCTACGAAAGATTCGTGGTTGATGTTTCGGATCGCGTCGACTCCGCGATGTCCAAGCTCGTTGGTCGTCCTTCGTCTTGGCCACATGGCTGCCATACTTGCTCATGAGTTTTTCTGCCTCTGTTCGTGTCCACATGGTTTTGCCTGGCATCGTGGCGCCTTGTGTGCATTCAGTGGGACAACGATAGACGCTCTCGCCATGTCGGCTTCAAGCCCTGGTCCCAGAACCTCGTTCGAGACCGTCATGAAAATCCCGTATTGCCGAAGAAAACCAGACAGTCCAAACCCCGAACTGGCATCTATCACATCTCGCAAAGAAGGACCGACGACAAATCGGGAATTCCGCTACCGCCGTCGTACGAGTTGCCAAATCTGCGGATTATACTTTCAGTGCACCCGGTTCGATAGTCAGCCGAGACAACATCTAAACACGTTCTGCGGCCCATCAACCCATGGACCTTAGGTAAAGCAAGGACAACTAGATCAAGTGGGTCACTGCATCTATGAACGATCTCAAACCACGAGATTGAGATCACTGCAGAGAGACAGACCCTGAAGATCTCAAGTCAGACAGAGACAGAGGGAGAACGGGGGAGAGACACAAAGTAGACCGCAAGACGGTGAAGCAGGAAATCGGAAAAAGTTGCGCCCTCACCAAAGATACCCACTGTAGCGCTCAACATCTATTCCCTTGGTGGCTACATTTGGCCTGAGTATTTCGCATGATCGATAGCTGAGTGGCAGGAAATACATATTGCTGATTGAAGTAGAGACATAGCAAACTACACATCTAGATGTCTGTACTTCTAGATGTGTATGCTTCCAGGTAGCTGCACGTTATCCATGTTGCACAGACTTGCCCGCTCTAATCGAATACTGAGGTAGTACCTATGTAGATATACATCAAAGCTCTTGAGGTAGGCGGTGATGATTTTATGTACTGAGGCCAACCTTGGGCACCAAAGGGTTAACGCCGAACATCTATGAATAGAGGCACACGCACTCGCATGCACATGGCCAAATCGCGTGAGTTGTTCCTATCTACACGCCAGGACGGCTTGCGTGGCTCGGCAGCCGTGCAGGGCCTGGCTCGTCCTGCGGCATGCACCTCCATGCGCACAGCAGCAAGCAAGCAGCACGCGCGCTCCCATGCGCACAGCCGACAGCAATACCCGTCTGTCCGTCCCCCCGGCCCCCCTCCCCCCTCCCTCCCTCCCTCAGTGCTGATTCGGCCATGTCCGGTCCCGACGACTTGGGCCGCGAGATGACTGGCTGCTCGGTCTGCATGGTTCGACACGACAACGCGAAATCAAGCCAGAAGGTAGCGACAAGATAGGCAGCACATGGTGGCTTAGCCGCTGCGAAGGAGAATTTACCAGTCACATCGTTTCAACCAGTCAGTGACAGAATGGGGGCGGCGCCAGGTCTCGCGCTCTCCCTCTCCCTCCTCTCTCTCTCTCTCTCTCTCTGTGTGTGTGTGTGACCGTCTCTCCATGCGTCGCTCTCCTTACTCTCCCTACTCCTTGCCCTCTCTGGCTCTGACCTTGCTATGACTCTCGGTGCAGTGACTCTTTGTCCCCCTC